CTCTTTTAAACTTCATGTCATCTCATCAAATTTAAGTAAATTATGTCTACTTGGGAAATTTTCCCTCCAAATTCTTGATAGTTTACTGACTGCACTAATAGACTTTAATATTGTAGAAGTAAAAGAGGTGGTCTTTTAAAGGCACCAGAATTCCTTCCTCCAGGGAAGTATGAATGATTAGCTATTGCAGGTCCTGTAATGCTGGCTTGATGAGGTCTCTCATCATAAAGGTGAGAGGGGTAGAAAGTGCACAGAGGACACAGGATCGGTACTCCCATGATGTGCAGCCATAGCCGCCTGACCTTGGGCTGCTTCTCTGTGCCAAACTGATAGAAAGTACTCTTTCACTGTAATATTTTTTTGTGTTCACTGAACAGTTCTACCATTGGAGAAAAAAGGATTTTAAGTAAATTTTTGATACAAAGAATGAAAGTTGGGTGCTTACCATCACTAAACTGTTAGTGGGAAAAGATTTCATTTCTAAATGTGGCTTTTTGGTAAACTGGTTATGACCATAAAGAAGAGCTTGCTTTGGAGTTACTTTACTTGGTTTCTAGGTTGCAATAAGATTTTTGATAGAAGTGTCTGTATGAATGCAGACTAGGAACTTCAAATGCATCAGTACTTGATTCTGGCAATAAAATGGTTACAGCTGTCTTGAGTTACAGACTGTGATCCTTTATTTTAAGGTTGGCACCTAGAAAATACACTTGGGGCCTGTCTTCATGGTTTTAATGCTACTCGCAACTTTCATCAAAGTAGAGACCAGGGCTGGTAGTCCTTGAAAGGCTGCTGCTCTTGAAATACAGGGCTTTCTGCATGACCTCAGGTTGGCCATGACTCTTTGGGAATTACTTTACTTTCTGTCATAAAATAAAGCCAGTTTGTATGACTGACTGTCCCTTGGCTTGTGATCACATTAGAGCATTTCTCAGTTTGATCCACAGGAATGCATCCTGCAAAAGTTAAGCTTTACTAGTCCCTCTTATTTCTTCATTTCTTTGCACTAATTCTTTCCCTGTTTTGTGCAAAGTGCTGGTTTGGTTCTGTAAAATTTTGGAAGAGGACAAGAAGGTGAGAAACTCAAAGGCTTGGCCTTCTTGCCATCAAGTGAATAGATGTATAACTGTGTTCTTAAATTGTTAGTTTTATTAGGAAGAAAATAATTTTATCTTATTTAAAATTTAAATCCTTCACTGTATTAATTTTAAAGTTCTCGTAATTTCAGTATCTTTTGAATAAAGGAGGTGGAATAGGCAGAGCTTGTTGAGGCCTAATAACTGGTTATTTTTACTGTTATCCTGCTTAGCCAAACTTGAAAACTCAGTTGGAGAAGGCTTTAACATAAAAACAAATCCTTTTTTAAAAAAAATCTGAGAACAAAAGCCCTACCTTGACTTTGGAACTCCTGCTTAGCAATGGTTTTTCTCCCAACTTACCCGTGGAAGGTTCTGTTTTCTGTGTTGTCTTCAAAGCCAGCAGCCATTTTGGTGGTGTGTTTGAACTGGGTTCTGCAATCTGTTACGGTGGTCATGAACTGGCAATCCAAACCTTGAGGAAAATCTGCAGTTAGGTTTTTTTTTTTAATACTTTGGATCCTCTTCCCCCTCTGTATAGATTATAATTATGTGAGTCTGTTTAACTGTCTTAGATAGATTTGAGCCCTAATTTGAATTTATTGTGTCCTTTTATGGGAAGGTTTAGAAAGCAATCAAGAATAAAGTCTGCTTTAATTCACTGAAGAGAATCCAGATGCTACTCTGGTTTTGTGATCCTATGATCAGGATAATGGCATTTAAAAAAATTTGGGACCCTATTGTTGTGTGCAGGGCCAGCTTCAGAATCTCAGGGTCAATGTAAAATAAAAGTGCCGGGCCTTTTCATTAAGGATTTCAGGACGGCAATGGTGGAGAGCACAGGGCCCTACCGTGTGTGGAGGCCTGTGTGATTGCACATCCATGAAGGCAGCCTTGGCTTGTGTGTGTATCTACATACACTTTTCAGCATATACATACATGTATATGCATCCTTGTGTTTCAGCATCAGACTCCATCAGTTCACTGGCATTGCAACTTGTATACTTGTTTACCTGCTTTCACTAGTAAGAAAGTATATGTAAAACTGTTTTCCTCCCTTCCCCAGAAAAGTGAACCATGCAGACTTCTTTCCTGTAGATTTGGATTGCCTCTTGTCATGATTGAGTATTCCAGACAGGGAAATTGATACGGAATCTGTAGAAGTAGCTTGTTTGTGGTGGGAGGAAAATCAAGGACATATTCTTCACAAGTTTTCACCTCTTTTTACTGCACACCTGTAATGCCTAGCTTGGTGGTTTAGAGAATATGGAGTGTTTCTGGGCTTTCTTATAAGGCAGAGGCTCCATACAAGGTTGCTGATGATTGTTCTAAATTCCCATTGTTTTCTTGGCTTTTCTCCCTTGGTTTATGTGTCGTCTGGAAACTGATTTGTAGTTGGTGAGGTAACATACGTGGAGCTCTTAATGGACGCTGAAGGAAAGTCAAGGGTAAGTCTTTGAGAGAATTTCTTCTGTGGATTTACTACATGACAAATGTAACTGTATGGTGGCGTGGAATCGAATGAAATCAGGAAGGCAGTGAGTGCTCATGTTACAGCAGATACGTTTGATTTTGCCAAACATCTGAGTGGGATGGGAGGGGATTTGCAAATGGGAGTCCGGCTTTTCCAAATGGCTGGCCAAAGAGCTTTTTGGTATTCTGTTTGGATGCCCAATTTGGATAACTGGGGACCAATAGCAGCATTGTTTCTTTGTTAACAGAGGAATTGGCTGTGTGTGAAATATGCATGGAATTTTAGTGGTGGTATATTAATGTAAAACGTGTTCTTGTCTAGAAAATGTTACTTTTGGTTGTTTGCTGAATTTGAAAGTTGTGTGACCCAAGATTCCGAAAAGTTGCCTTTGAGCCAGTAAATTGTAAATCAAATACTTAAAACCTGAATGTTTAAAATTGGCATAGTTTAAAGAGAAAATAACTATTTTCTGTTGTGCAATAGAATGGCTTAGAATAATTAATAGAATGAACTTAATTTATGGAAGGGATGGATTTCAGAGGAGTATGATCAGAAATCGAGGAGAGAGGGAAGCAGATCTAAAGTTTGTGTGATTTCGTGGAGAGCCTGAATGTAGGTCTGCTTATTAGACCTTCAGAAACTATAGTGCAATGCTGGTAATGTGTAGGAGAGAGAGATTCAGGAGCCCAGCTTTTAATAAGGAAGGCTAGGCAGACACTGTTGTCAGCTTCCCCTTAGAAAGGTTAATTAAAAACAAACAAACAAGGTTAACTTAAAAAATGAAAAAAAAAAAAAAAAAACCAACTAACCTTGTTACACAAATCATTTTAAATTTTTTTGTAACTGTCATCAATATTTACTGTTTTCTTTTCTTTTTTTTTCCCTTTTCTTGCTCTTCTGACTGGTCTTTGGCTTCTCCCAAAGGGATGTGCGTAAGTATTGTCTAGTTACTTATTGGCACTTGGGTCTTCTGAATAGTGGGACTGTTTTCACTCACTCACTTTTGTCTCTTCGTAGTGTTGTTGAATTCAAGATGGAAGAGAGCATGAAAAAAGCTGCCGAAGTTCTAAACAAGCATAGTCTGAGTGGAAGACCACTGAAAGTCAAAGAAGTAAGCTTTTGATTCACATTTGGTGGATATTATTTATAATCGCTGTGTTATCCCTGTTCAGAGTTAGGTCAGGACAAGACTAGTCCTTGGCTTCGTGTGGCAGAGCAGACTAACTTGCTGTTTTTAATGAAGGTCCTTCACCGGCGCAAGTAGTCACTTGTGTAAGAGCTCTGGAAGGGTGGCTGAGTGTAGACCCTAAATAACTGCTGACCACCTTCTGAATGTATGGGATTCATCTTAGACCAGCCTGCCTGATTTTCTCAAGGCTACTCAGAGGGATCCAGTTTCTTGCTTGGTTTATACAAATAAGGGTCTCTACCAGTACCAGTTGCTATGGAGTTGATTTTGACTCAAGACAACCCCAAGCGTGTCTTGAGTAGAACTGTACTCCATAGTATTTTCGTGGCTGAGTTTTCTGAAGTTAGTTGGCATACTTTGTTCTGAAGCACTTCTGGGTGGACTTAAACCTCCAGCCTTTTGGTTAGCAGTGGAGGGCATTGATTGTTCCCACCACCCGAGGGCTTGACACCTGTACTTTTATACTTTGACCCAGTGTGAACCCTATCCTTGGCCCACGACTTTTCTTTCTTAAAGTGAGTTTGTTGCTCAGATCCCCTTTCATATCTAATCCAAATCAAACATCTTCTCTCCCTCCAGGAAGATGGCTTTGTTTGTTTGTAAAATCACTTCTTGCCTTATTTCACTTCCTTTCTACTTGAGAGGAAGATGAGTGTATTCGGAGCTCAGAGAGGAAGGTGTGGTAGAGTTAAGATCTTACGCATGTTGATGGTCCTGGTGAATGACAAAATTATTCAAGAATGTGCTAATACCAGAGCCTCACAAACCTGTCCAGATTTTATATACTCAAGTCAAACACCTAAATAACTTAGGTCAACTAAATAACTTGAAGGATGTGGTTCTGTTGGTGATCTGGAACTTTATTTTCAGATTTTGGGAAAATCACTGGTGGGGTTTGCAAATGCTATAAAGCCCTGTTGGATTGCTAAGATTGAACCACACCAAGCTCATGAAGATCTTAAATTCAAGCTGGAAGTTCTGCATCATGTCACCTGGTCATGCACGCACCACCACCTCCCACCCCAAGTTTTTTTACTTAGTTACTTAAAAGTTTGAAAGCTATGTTTCCAGCATAAAATTTGAGCTGGAACTCTCTGTAGGTTATTGGCTTGTTTAGTTTGTTTGGATTTATTGTAGATTTAGAGACATGCTTTCCAAGCAGTCTCTCAATTTCTGAAGTTTTGAGAATATCCATTATTGCGTGAACATACGTTTTACTTGTTACTGGGTCTGTTAAACGCCATATCTTTATGCTTGTTTTAGGATCCTGATGGTGAACATGCCAGGAGAGCAATGCAAAAGGTGATGGCTACGACTGGTGGGATGGGTATGGGACCAGGTGGCCCAGGAATGATTAATATCCCACCCAGTATCCTAAATAATCCTAACATCCCAAATGAGATTATCCATGCATTACAGGCCGGAAGACTCGGAAGCACGGTATTTGTAGCAAATGTAAGTAAATTGAAACGTTGTCCAAACATGTCTTACAAAATTAGTGTATCTTTGACATTTGAAAAGGAGAACTTTACAGAAGTGTTGTGTATTCCCTCTTTGAACTATTTACAATTCAGTCTTCATGTTAAGCTTGGTCTTTTTTCATAGCTGCTGCCTTCGTAAGTCATCATTGTGACCATGGTCCTGTTTGGACTGTGTTTACTGAATTGCAGGTGTTAGGGGCCATAGTCTCAGTGGTTCCACCAGGCTCAATCGGATTAGCAAACCGGGTGTCGTCCCCCCCCCTTTTTTTTTTTTTCCTCCAAGTCATTTTGAGTTTTGTTCCACATTGTTCTCCCTCTCTACCCAGGATCTCCTATATAGATCCCCCTCCCAGTGGTTGACAGTGGTAGCCGAACACCATCTAGTTCTTCTGGTCTCATAGTCTTTTAGGCTATGGATCTCATGGTGTACCAGTCGCTAGGACTAATTGTGTCCATGCATCTTTGGTTTTCTTCATTCTTCTTTGCTCTGGACAAGAAGAAGCTCATCATTGCATCTAGATGGCTGCTTACAAGCTTTTAAGATCCTAGTCACTACTCACCAAAGTAGGAAGTGGAACAATGTTTTGTGTAGTATGTTATGCCAATTGAACTTGATAGCCCCTGGGACTATGGTCCTGAGCCCACCGGTTCAACTACTCCGTCCCTCTGGGTCTCTGGCTATGACCAAGAAATGACTACAGCCTTGTCCCTTGTCAGCTCTGCTATACACCTGGAACACCTGAAAATTCTTACAGATCATACTAATACACTTATAGGACCGTTGTCTGCCAACCCTATATATGGTCTTGGGTACACTCCCCACTTCATAGACATACCTAATAATTCAGGCTGTCTACCCATCTATCCACCCGTATACCCGTGTTTGCCTTCACTGACAATGCAGTAGTGTATGTGCAAAAGGGTTCATCTTTATTGTCTGTACCTCGTGTTAGAGGTATTTTTTAAAGACAGTTAGTTGGGGCAGGTGATAACTAGCCGTCTTGGTGGCACAATAGTTAAAACAGTTGTCTGCTAACCAGAAGGGTGGTGGTTGAAACCCACCAGCTGCTCTGTGGGAGAAAGATGAGGCAGTCTGCTACTGTATAAAGATTTGAGCCTAGGAAACCTATGGGGCAATACTACTCTGTCCTGTACAGTTGCTATGAGTTGGAATTACTTGATGGCAGTGGATTTGGTATTTGGTTTGGGGAACATATTTTTATAATATTCAGAAAATACTAGTTGTAAAGATATGAGATGACTTAAAGTTGTTATCTTCTAAGAAAAGAGGCAGTAAAAACTGTACATTAATTCCAGGCTTCATAGTTGGATTTTAAAAATGCTGATGCAGTTGATTAGCTTTTGTGACATTTTTCTAAGGCTTATTCCTAAGCATAGCATGTCTCATGCATGTAATAAAAATGTTTTTCTGAAGATGCGTACATTTAGGTTTTTCTCTCTTTCTTTTGATTAGCTGGATTATAAAGTTGGCTGGAAGAAGCTGAAAGAAGTATTTAGTATGGCTGGTGTGGTGGTCCGAGCAGACATTCTTGAGGATAAAGATGGGAAAAGTCGTGGAATAGGCACTGTTACTTTTGAGCAGTCCATCGAAGCTGTGCAAGCTATATGTATCCTTTTATGGTAACTCAGCTCATGGGGAACATTTTTGATTTTTGATGTTATACTCAATAATGTAGGTTTGTGTGGGGAAAAAAAAGGGCAACTTCCTATATGAATATTTTGTGTTTGACTCGGGGGAGTACGTTACAGGGATTTTGAAAGTTCTCTGGAGGGAGTTAAGTTCAGTACTATGGATAGAAGGGATGGGTAGAAAATAGGCTCATCCTCTGCCTGTCAGTGATCTCTTCCAGGGTCTTATTTTCAGAGGAATCTGAGTTTAAAGGGGGAAGGTCAAACACATGAAATGTTTGGGCCTTGTTTCATGTAAAAGTCCCTAGAGGCCTGTGTCTCCAATGAATAGATGTCATCCTGGAAGAAGCACTTCTCCTGGACAGGCTTCCTTTATCTTAGGCTGCCTGTCCTAGAGTTCACATCTTTTCATCATAGTGGTGAGTACCACATAAGAACACTGGCATGAAACTTGAGAAAGATTGAGAATCTGAGTATCTTAACCAGGAAATATGGCACTTGAGAAAATGGTGGGCCTCCTGCCTGGCCTTTTGGGCTCAGACAGAAATCCATGATGCCACTACTTTAGAAAATGGTCTCGTGAAAGATTAAGATGCTATGGATGAAGCTTCACACCTAAAATCTGAGATTTACTTTGTTCTTACCTGAAACCTTACTTATTATTGTTTCTGTGCTTAGTGTAGAGACAGTGTAATGAAGAATTAGAGTTAATTTACAACTTAGTGGGACTGGTAGCAGCAGTTGGAGTATTTTCCTCTTTGTTTGTATTTCTCTCTCCTGCTGTGTATGTTTTCAGACTTGCAAGAAATAGCCTTAATTATAATTTCAGCTATGTTTAATGGACAACTGCTATTTGATAGACCAATGCATGTGAAAATGGTAAGTTAAAAGATTTTTTCTCCACATTATACTTTAGTAATTTTAGCAAAAACATGGGATTTTCAAGAGTAAACATAGCCCCTATCCTGTCCTTAAGGACCAGTTGACATTGATTAGGGCACTGTGTCAAAGAGATGCATAATTGAGGTGCCTTTTGGCTTGCAGCTCTTGCTTCCTCAGATAAATTTTCTTTTGCACACTTGGCAGTTAGTCTTGGTCAGGCTGCTGCTGGCCTGCTATTTGACAAGTGGTCAATTTCAAAGAATGGCTGTATCCGTGGGTTTCTAAGTTTCAAAGTATTACAGTGTAGTCCTGTTTAGTTAGCATATCTGTTATAAGCATAATGAAGCCTCATGTTCACACAGTTTTTAAAGATCTGATGAAACGCTTCAATGTCTATAAACATTTGGCTTGCTGCACTGTGTGAAGAGAACAGTTAATAGAAGCATGACTAGAACATGCTGAGGGTGATCCATCTAGGATATCCATCTAGGATAAAGAATGCTCTTTATAAAGCAGTTGTTTTAGTACCTTTAACATTTGGTTTAGATAATTGATTCATATGGCTCAGAAATCAGTGTGAACAGATGCATAAAAAGTCCACGAGCCTTGCTCTACTTGCCTAGATCCCATCTATCCCCCAGTAAACGAATGTACTCTTATCCTCCCCCTTTTCACCCTTGTATATTATCTTCTTGTATGAATATGTCTTAATTTATTGAATCGGTCATCTTCTGGATGAGTCACAATTGACTCGGTGGCACCTAACAACAGCAGCTTCTTTTGGTAGGGATGCTTTCTCTCTTTTGTTGTCAGAAACAGTGCTGTGATGACCACTGAGGTGTATTCATTTTTCTTTCTTTCAGGATGAGAGGGCCTTACCAAAAGGAGACTTTTTCCCTCCTGAGCGTCCTCAGCAACTGCCCCGTAAGTGTTTAAATTGTTACAGCTTAGATATTGGATTTGATTTGTGGGAAACCAATATCGTCTACGATACACATACGCCTGAATCTGTGCTGTGTGGTATTTTGCAGTTTGTTCTCTTGAGGAAAAGGTCTAAAGTACTCTTTCTTCTAGGCTTGCAGGGTGAGGAATGGGCAGTAGAAATTACCCAGGTGTCTACCAGTTGATGAATGGATAAATAAAATTTGGACCATCCAATACAGTGGACTATTTTCAGCCATAAAAAAGAATTAAGTATTAATATTTGTTACAGTATAAGTAAACTTTGAAAGCTTTATGCTAAGTGAAACATGCAAGGCACAAAAAGGCACATAATGTGTGATTCCATTTCTGATCTCTAAAATGTGTGGAAGGCAATAGGGAATAGGCAAATCCATAAAAATAGGAAGTAGATTAAAGATTACCTGGGGCTGGGGTGGTGGGGTGACTACTGACCAGTATGGGGTTTCTTTTGGGGATGATGAAAATGTTCTGAATAAGATAATTATGATGATTGCACAACTCTAAAAGCCACTGACTTTTGCCCTTTTATAGGATAAAGTTTATTATAGATGAAATGTATCATTATAAAGAACTTTCATAGTGGTGATAAAGGTGGGACACCCTGTAGAACAAAGGCTGTGCAGTGGGGGGTGAGGATGGTGAGACCTGCTTGTCCTGTGCTCAGGAGGCCTCCTACCAGGTGAGGCAGTCAGTCCCAAGGAGAGACCAATGGCCAGGCAATACCTCTGGTCTAGAGCAGACTCACATATGTACTGTCTGTCTCTCAGGAATGGAATTGAATGACAGCCTAGGTGTGAAACTTAAGTATTCAACACAGAGCATAATAGAGGTTGGTCTGAGGGGAAGTTGATGGCCTCAAGAATAGAAGACAGCTTCTGTGTTAAAAGTTACCGTTATTTAGAGAAGGGCCACATTTCCTTATCACAGCATCTTCTTTTCCCAAGTAAATTGTCAATGTGATCACTTGTAGTGGTCACCCAGAATCAAGGTGATGGCTCTTGTCAACTTTTGTGCCAAGAGGAGGAGGAGGCTGCCTGGCAGCTTTGCCTGGCGCACAGTGGATCCCAGAGAGCCCATTAGCCATGGCTCTTGGTCTCCTGGCACATCGCAAAGGGTTGACTTCAAAGCCTTCAGTACTTTGGGGAGTAAGTAACCTTGGCGATCTCTTGGTGCTGTTTCCATGTGATTAAAAAACATGGGCTGTGAGTCAGATTAAATCTGGGACCTGGTGGCAGACAGGGTTGTTTTTTTTTTTTTCTTCTCCCCTAAATGGACTTTAAAAACATTGTTCCCCCTTCTATCTCACTGGTCTTGGTTTAAGCCTCAGACCGTGATTACCCAGAGCACTGAACGTGCCATGGCCTTATCGGATGTTTCCAGAGACCAATACCTTTTTTTTGGGTCCCTGTTTCTGCTTGTGGAGCATAGCATTGAGGGTGGGCTAGGAGTCAGTTCATGGGTTAGAGAGCTATCTGGGCAGAAAGATTGATTCTTTGAACATACTACTTTCATTGTCATTCAGACCCTGCCCCACGTTCCCCACAGCAGCTTTAGAGAATAGTGTATGCCAAGTGTATTCACTGGCTGGTTTATGGCATTTTATTTTTCATAGGTGAAAATTTCTTTGGGCTACCAGGTTGGAAAGGTGTTAAGTGGCACATTTGTGCCAGTTACCACCTTGACTCACCTTTCTGACGAGATAAGCACGTTCAGGGTGGTATGACCGTAGACTTGACTTATGTTTCTGGGATCAAGCATTCTTTGGTCCATGATTTAGGGAAATAAATAGCTCCATATTCTTATTACATGGGCTGTTCATAGGTTCTCCTGTGTAACTTTCAGGGTGAACTGATTTGTAATTGCCTTTGTTTTTTATTCATGTCACAAATTACCCCTTGTGATTGCACATGAAAGATTATGCCTTATAAGAGGCCTTGGTGGAGTGGAGTGTGACAGCTGTAAGCCAATAAGAGAAGGATCTTTTTTTGTCTTTGAGGATCAAGAGTTTTGAGTAAGGAGGGCTTGTTTACACTTTTGACTTTCTCTCTTCTTTGCAGATGGACTCGGTGGTATTGGCATGGGGTTGGGACCAGGGGGACAGCCTATTGATGCCAATCACCTGAACAAAGGCATCGGAATGGGAAACCTGGGACCTGCAGGTTAGAAGCCCATAATATCTTGATTGGGAATTTTGTGCGGAGTTAGTTATTAAAATATAGCTGTATGTTGAGTCCAGTAAGGATCGCTATGAGTCAGGGTTGGTTGATTCAATGGCAGTGGGTTTGTTTTTATTTTGGTTTAAACATTAAGTTGTTCCAATGGCAGAAAGATTTAATTGGGACAGAATTCCCTTTATTACTCATCTGAGTTGTTTTTTTTTTTATAGAGACAGTGTATTGTGTTCTTCTAAAGCCATTATGCCTTTGCATTTTATCCTCACAATGCCTTTCTGAGCTGAAATGGGTATATAGCATTCAATAAAAGAAGGCAAGCCAGAGAGTTGCTCTTGCTCAAGGTCACACTATCAGTTATTGACAGAGACAGTATGGCCATGGTGCCCGGGTATTGTTTTTATCCAGATCCCCTTGGGTTTTCACCCAGTATTGAGCTGGGAGCTTTGATAGATAAGGATAAGTATGGAAGGCCTCACTGCATGACAGCACCGTTGTCACAGCCACAGGGAGGAGTGAGTCAGTGTTGTCTTGTAAGAAGAGAAGGAACAGCTTTGAAAGTGTAGAATAAACGTTAAACTTGGCTGTTGAGCATTTTCAATACTGCACAAGAAAATACTTCTCTCTACTATGAAGGAAGTTTTCGTTTTCTGATGTCAAGAGTTAGGGCTTTTTCTCTTACAATTTGGTGAACTGCAAAGTGGGTCTTTGCTTGCTGCCATCCTTCCCACTCCCATCTCACCATTCCCTTTCTAAACTCTGAGGCTGACTCAGGGTCCTTGCCTTTTGGGCCACTTCAAATGGCTACCAGTCTGACCAACACCCTCCATGCACACTCCATGACCTAGGCCTAATTATAAAGGCCAGGGGCAGGAGGAAGAAGCCTCAGTGTTTTTCGGAGCTGTTATTTTTAGGATTTTACCCTCCAAAGAGATTTTTTCTTCTACTTTTCTGTTCCCTAAAATAGCTTCTAAAAGGGAATGTTTCCTGGTCTATGCCCAATGATTCTGTTTCACGCATGTTTAATACTAACATGTTTAATGCACGACATGGACTGTTCAGAATTTTGAGTCACATGGTGAACACTTGGTTAAAGGATTAAATTTTTTTTTCTTGGACTGTGGTCTTTGGATAGTGGAAATGCTAGATTATTATTCAAAATACTCATTAGGGATATTTTTGTTCATTTGTTGGTTTGGAGTTTCTTGTGCTTTTTAAGTTCAAACATTTACTGCTTTGACATAATTTTAGTTTGCATTGACTTTTTCTTTTTAAGGAATGGGATTGGAAGGCATAGGATTTGGAATAAATAAAATGGGAGGTAAGAAATTTAAAATGAAGTCCAAATATAATTGCTTTTCAGGGTATGGCTTTCTCTATCTTTTTTTTTCCCCCCTTTGGTTTTTTCCACCCCCCATCTCTTGAGCCCTGCATGAAATTCTGACTTTTGTTTCCAAACAGTTTTAGTCTGGCAGTTACTTTCCATACTTGTTAACTGTTCTAGTTGGTGTCTTGGCTTTTGATTCTGGCTCTCTCACTAACTAGCTCTGTGACCTTGGGCAAATCACTTGTCTCTGGACAGCTCTTAGCTCTGTTAATTTAGGAGGTTGGAGCAAATTAGCTTTTTAAAGATGGTGATTTAAGGGGGGGCAACATCTCTCCTCTGCCCCATAAATAAATAAATAAATAAATAAACCCTGAACTTGATGAGTTTCTGGCAGGCAGTGCCCATGATGAAGCATGTGTGAACGTTTTTCTTTCCCTGAACAGCTTAATCTGGTCTTATCAGAATAACACTAAATGCTAACTTCTGTTTCAGGCATGGAAGGACCCTTTGGTGGTGGCATGGAAAACATGGGCCGATTTGGATCTGGGATGAACATGGGCAGAATTAACGGTAAGAATCACGGATCCTTCCTGCCTAGACTTCCCCTTTGCTGACGTGGCTTGTGAGGGACTTCTAGGTAGCAGGCTCAACCTTTTTTCAAAGTTTTTATTGTGATTTGGGTGAAAGTTCACAGAGCAATTTCATTTTCCATACAGCAGTTCATACACATTTTATCTCATGACTTCAACTGCAATTTCCCACTATATAACAGCTCTCTTCCCACTTGTTCCCCATAGTTAACCTCTTTCCTGTGTCCTTCCTTCCTGTGCAACTCCTGCCCTCGTTGTCTCCCTGTGCATTTACTGCGTTTCTGTTCTCTCATGATTGATATCTCCAAGGAGTATATCTACCTGATGTAAATGTTAAGCCCATAAGCCAGTCTTTTATTTGACTGGAAGCTCTAGGAGTTCAATTCCGGACCTGAAGGGCAGCTAGGGACCATAGTCTCAGGGATTTCATCAGGTTCTGTCAGACCAGCAAGACTGTTTTTTTTTTATTATTATTTATTAATAATTTTGAGTTTTGTTCCACATTGTTTTCCCACTCTATCTAAGATCTCTATACAGAGCCCTTTCCAAGTGGTTGACAGTGATAGCTGGGCACCATCTAGCTCTTCTGGTCTCGTGGTCATAGAGGTTGAGGATTGCATGATGTACCAGTCCCTTGGGCTAATAATTTCCATGTGTCTTTGGTTTTCTTTATTCTTCTTTGCTCTGGTTTAGGAGAGACCCATCATTGCATCTAGATGACCACTTGAAAGCTTTTAAGATCCTAGTCGCTGCTTGCCAAAGTAGGATGTAGAACGATGTTTTTATGTAGTATGTTATACCAGTTGAGCTTGACGTCTCCTGGGACGATGGTCCCAAGCACACAGATCCAACTACTCGCTCCCTTTGGGTAGCTAGCTGTGACCAAGAAGTCACCACAACTCTGTCCCTTGTCAGGTCCATTATATACCTGCACATTCCTACAGAACATACAAATACACTTGTAGAAACATTGTTTGCCAACCCTATACATGATCATGGGCACATTTCCCCCTGCCTAGATACACCTGATCATTCAGCCTGTCCACCCATCTATCCACCTATAGATCTGTGTGTGTGCAGGCTCACTTCTAAGAAATTATTTTCCAGTGCTACTTTTCTACTGAATCAGATGTCTTTGAGTTGTCTTAAATATCAGTATAAATATTAGTATGTATTTCCAAAGCTAGACCTATCTAGACTTAGTAGGTAAGTGTTTATCCATAGCCACTCAACTTTTGAGATGTCTTGGATTCCAAATCTCCCCCAGTAATTGTCCAGTGAAAATGTAAAACTAAAAACACAGCCAGTAACATGTAGACATCTGTGGTTGTCTGTGCATGCTGGGAAATGATCTCCATGTGTAAGGGCTTCACGTTTCTTTGGAGGTTTTGATGTTCATGTGCTGTAAGCACCAAGTTCTTGGTTGTCGGCCCAGTGGTTCTGAGTGTGGACAGACAAGTAAAAATCCAACCAGACTTTCTTTTTTTAATTTTTATTGTGATTTGGGTGAAAGTTTACAGAGCAATTTCATTTTCCGTATAGTAGTTCATATACACTTTGTCTCATGATATTGACTGCAGTTTCCCACAGTGCCACAGCTTTCTTCCTGCCTCTTCCCATACTTAGTTCTTCCTGTATCCTTCCCTCTCATGCACTCCTGCCCGCCCCCCAGCTGTCTCCCTGTGCATACATAGCCCTTCTATTCTCCCATGACTGATCTCTCCAGGGAGTATATCCACCTGATGTAAACTTCAGCTGATAACCTGTCTTTCTTTTGGCTGGAAGCCAAGAAAGGATTTAATTCCAGACCTGACGGGTACCTAGGGGGCATAGTCTCAGGGATTTCACCAGGCTCTATCAGAGCAGCAAACCTGGTCTTTTTTTTTTTTTTTTTAAGAAGAAGAAGAAGAAGAAGATTTTGAGTTTTGCTCCACATTGTTCTCCCACTCTATCCAGGATCTCCTACATAGATCCCCCTCTAAGTGGTTGCCAGGC